ATACTATGTTATGCATTTTTAAATTCATAACTAATTAACCTCGTCTTCATCGAAAACTTGCATATTCTTGTACATTATGATTTTGTTTAAAATGTCGGTCGCATTTTTCTCAGGAACTATAAACCAAGTCTTTCTGAAATTTGGAATCAACCTTCAATTATTTTACATCGATGACTAATAAACTTACTGTTCACCTATAGTTTTAGCGGGGGGTATCATTAGAAAGCAGTTGCACACAATTTAACTTCTTTTTTTTTCTATCTCTGCATGATATATACAGATGGAAGTGTTCATATGCATGAACTGTCATGTATGAAGGCATGCCCCCAAAGGGCCCTCAATTGGTTCAATAAATATATTGTATCGTATTATACTGTAGTATAAAAGTTGCAACATTTGATAACGTTGAGGACAGATGTATAATGTGTATAGTGTCTGTATCCGATACACTTAACGACTATTACGGTATGAAGTGGAAGTACAAGTCATTATATCAAAGTGGTATGTGACGTCATTACAAATTACTATGCCAGATAAAATACATAATAAAAGCCAATCTCATCGAGCTATTTCCAAGCTACAGGTATAGGTGCGAAATTCTCATTTTTCGTTTGAATACAGAGAATAATTTTTTTGTCTATTTTGAGCAATCAACATTGAATTCCAGACATGTATCATCCCTTCTATCTTTTTAGAAAACAAAACAAAATTATCTACAATTGACCATGCAATAACTAATACTAAATGACACCCTTTTTCCTGTCTCAAATGGTATTTTTGGGGGTACACATTTTTAACATTTTCGTTTAGTACTTATCCTGGAAGTACCATTACCAGCAAACTACTAACAGCTTTCTGATAAGATAATTTAAAATCATCCAAATCTGACCCCCAAATATCTTTTGACTAGATTTTTATGCAACTTAACAGTAAAACTGGCATAAAGGATGCTCTGATTTGGATTATTGTGGCCAAGTTTGGTTTTGACTCGCACATTAGTTTCATTAAAAATCTTTGAAAACTTATTACATCAATTACCAATATATAAGACGAACACTGGAACAACAACAGATATGACAGACCTCAAGAGATAGCATCAACTAATGAACCTATTGCTTATAGTATCTGAAAAACCGACCTTACCACGAAACGATAACATTGATTAATAAACCAATAAAATGAGGTCAAGGTCAGATGAACATTTTCAGACGGACATGCATACCATACAATCATTCCATACACCAAAAATAGTTATCATATTGCTGATAGTATCTAAGATACAAACCTAACCACGAAAACTAAAGAACGTTGATAAATGAACCATGAAAACGAAGTCAAGGTCATGTGAAATCTGCCAGACAGACATGTACTCCATATAATCATTTCATACACCAAATATAGTCTATCAATTACTTATTATATCTGAGAAACATGCCTATCCATGAGAACTTAACTTTGACAAATGAACCATGTAAATGGAGTCAGGGTCATATGAACCCTGCCATACAGACATGTGCACCTTACAATTATTCCATACACTTACGATAGCTGACTATTGCTAATATCTGAGAAACGGACCAAATCACAAAAACATAACATCAACCAATAATCCATGAAAATGAAGTCAAGGCCAGATGATACCTACCAGACGGACATATTCCACGTACAACCATTTCATACACCCTAAATAGTTGACCTACTGCTTATATTATCCTTAATTGCTGATCCATGAAATGAGGTAGAGGTCAGGTGAATCCTGTCTGACATACATGCAGACCTTGCAAGGATCCCAATTACCAAATGCAGTTATCCTATTATTCATAACTAGTGATGAATTCACATTACAAAAAAAAATTAAATAGTTTGTTTAATTAATTGAAGACGAATCCCATGTTTTATTAAGATGTCCGCTTTATGACGATTTTAGAAACCATTTATATTATGTTGCTGAAACTTTTAATGGAAATTTTAATACTTTAGATGACAACCATAAGTTACTTTTTTTTATTCTTAGATGTAAATACGATACGTGTGTGCGCCAAAACCTGTTATTTAATTTTAAGAAGACGTAGAAATTTTATATACTGTAAAAAGTACTTTATATTATACTCATATTATTTAATGTAGTATATCTATGCATTTTAATAGTCTCTTATAATTCTGTATAGAATGGCTCTCATTGTATGTAGTATTGTTTTCTAATATATAAATACCGATTGTACTTGTTAAGAGATGAGACTTTAATAAAACATTGAATTGAATAGATGCCAGGATTGAAATTTTGTACGCAAGACGCGCATTTCGACTATAAAAAACTCATCAGTGACGCTAGAATAAATAAGTTAAAAAGGCCAAAGAACTAAGTTGAAGAGCATTAATGACCCAAAATTCCTAAAAGTTTTGCCAAATACAGCTAAGGTAATTTATTCCTGGGGTAGAAAATCCTAAGTATTTCAAAAAATTCAAAAGTTTTGTAAACAGTTAATTTATAATTATGATCATATCAATGATAATTCACGTCAACACAGAAGTGCTGACTGCTGGGCTGGTGATACCCACGGGGAGAAAAACTGAACCAGCTGTGGCATCGACCCAGTGATTGTAAATAAACCCATCATAGATACCAGGATTGAAATTTTGTACTCCAGACGCGCGTTTCGTCCCAAAAAAATGTGTATTTACAATAATTAGTTTTTGAGTAATAAAATTTTCAAATTGTATTACCAATCAAGTCAGTCCCATTAGCCTAAATGTTGAGAAAATGGGTGAGGGGTACAAGAAATGATTTTACCAGAAACATGTACATCCCATATCAATTTTTTTTTTCAAATTTCTTAGATATGTATTTTTTCAATCATTTATAACAAAGAGGTTGAAATAATATGCTTTTTGTTCTAAAAAAACAGAAAAATCCCAAATTTACAAAATTGACAGCATGGGAAATTTGACTCGAAAAAGCAACAAAATTTTATAAAACATTCTTATACTAACACCTACCTATAGTTTTTTTTTAAGATCAATTTATTCAGATTGGTCCACTTCATCTTTAGTGAAAGTATGAAAAAATGTTTAATAGCCTAAAAATGGGTAAAAACTGTTGAAAAATGAGAAAATCATCAAAATTGGATACTTTCAAATGGCCGTAGCAAAAAAGGAAGTGCGCCACCATATGATTTTTTCTTCACCAATTATTTTTTACAGTCATATAAACCCAAAAATCAGGTTAAGAAAAAAAGTTTAATTCTAGAAATATTTGGCTCCTCGGAGGTGTACATCCATTTAGGTCCCCCATAATGATAGTCTCCCCTGAATTTGAAAACTTACTCAGGTCTTGTTCTATCTTCTCTAGTGTTGATAACTCACTTTTTACATCGAATGACCGTGAGGGCATTCCGGTGTATTGCTGTCGCCTAGATTTCCATTACGTAACTTTCGTGTTGAGATTGTAACCGATCTATAAACATGATAAATACGCGGACATTATCGAGTGCAAAATAACATTCCTTACTCGCTTGTTATAAATTCATTTTTTCAATGGATACTCCTAAAAATATTTTTTTTAGAACATAAATTATTAATATGAAAATGTTTTGCCGTTAGAAATATATATATAAGTAAAAAATCTTTAATATCTATGCACACGTACAGAAAATGTGTGTTAACGCATGCGGAAGAATATCTCAAGAACGTTTGCAATCTCTCATGCAGAGTTATCGTTCCTCGCTCTCTCTCAAGGACCCATAACTCTGCATGGGAGATTGAAAGTTTGGCGGGAAAATATGAATGCCTACTCAAATCCAATCTATTAGAAAAATCGATTTATTACAGAAGAGTGTCCACCATGCACTTGCACTGCACTATTAATAATATAGTAGAATAGAATTATATACAAATGGCTGAAAATTATATATACATGTAACTGTAATATACAAATATTAATATAATATATAACAACAAACCAAAGTATACTGATTTGTATCACTTCAATATCATATTCATTACGGTGAGGTTGAATTCCCTGTCATTTATTTATCATCCAAGCACGAACTTGTCTAAGAAAAAAAAATATATTTGTACATTAACCTCACTTTCAGGTATAGAGATGTGATTTTTTTTTCTGAGACAAGTGCTTGTGACCATCCACAAGAACTTGCAGTCATCCTATGTTCAGTACTTCAGTACTTTGATTAGATATTTAGAATAGCTAGACTGTATTGGTGAGTTGTAAGCAAAACAAACAAATATATCAGATGAATATGAAAAAAAATGTTTTACTTAGTTTTGCCCACAAGAATTCAGAGCAATTACTTTTTATTAATGTAATTCCTTTTCTAACATTAGGTCTGGCATATAAAGCAATGCCTCCATGAATAGCTTTACCTTTCCTGGGGCGAACCATAGTAAACCATATTCTCTGTAAACAAATGTGCAAAATTTTTTTATCATCACTATAAAATAAGGACTGGAGATGTGGTATGATTGCCAATGAGACAGCTATCCACCAAAGTTCAAATAAAGTAGATCTAAGCAATTAAAGGCATTCTTAATAAATCAAAAAATAATAGTGACCTATTTAATGGACAGTTTTATTTTTCTGTTACCGGGTATTTTTAACCTCCTTTTCTTTGATGTATTTTTCGTTGGCTCCGTCTAATGGAGTGAACATATTTCAGGTAATAGTTCATATAACTCTTCAACTGTATCGGTTCTTATACATATTGGCTTTCAAATATTCGAATCCAGAAAATTTCTTCGGACTCATGAGGTTAATAAAGTGTTGTTTTCATTTTTTTTTCTTTTCGATATGTCATTGTGCGTATTTGCAGTGACGTATAAGATTTCAATGAAAGTTATAATATTTTCATTGCTAAAAATATTTCGTAAATTTTATTTCAAATGTACAGATATATTGTGGAAGTATGATACCATCTGCAATAATTTTATATACTGGTATATGGTTGTCTACCGGAAAAGATAAAAAGGTCAATTTGATAAGATTATGAATTCACACAACTTTTATCACATTCTCGTACACTTATTAGTGTCCTTTTGAATACACACGAAATGTCAGCTGTGATTATCTTAGAGGAAGATTTTGGGAAAACAAAGGACGGTTTATCTGTAAAAAGGCAAGTTTATAAATACGCTCGTTGTTTTCAACAATGCAAACAATATATAGTGATCGCATTTAAATATATTGACGTCCTGTCATATATTTTTCAGGTTTACACTGAAGAATCAAAACAATGTTACAATACGGATAATCAGTTATGGAGCCATAGTAACCGACATTCTAGTCCCAGACAGGAAAGGCAACGTACAGGACATAAACTTAGGGTTTGATGATATTAAAGGTATACATGACAATTTCTTAAATAGTAAATGGTTATAGGCTATTAGGTATGATAAAAGGCATTGTCAATCATACCACATCTACTTACTTTTTATATAAGCATTTGCATTGGCAATAGTTGGAGGCACATCCACAGCCGATATCTAAAGATGGTTCATATCAGTGTGATATTTTTTACTCGGATGTTCAAGTTTTACTTAAGTTTAACCCTGTCACTTTATGCATTATTACCTATTCACCAGCCACTTTATCCATTGTAACTTTTACAACAAAATCTAGGTGACCACATAATGTATATCAAAAACCAACAATCTCGTATATATCTCATTGTTCTTTACCACAATTTTGACAAACTTCACTTCAGTGAAAGATTTTTAATCAGTTTATTCGATTATATCTATCAAGTATAATTCCCTACCAACTTGTTAACAGTTAATATGTTTAAGATGTCTTTCTGTTTTCTCTAAGGTTACGAAAGTCCACGTCAGAGATATTTTGGTGCTTTGTGTGGTAGAGTCGTAAATAGAATTGCTGATGGAAAGTTTACACTAGATGGAACTGAATATAAACTTGCGATTAATAATGGTCCTAACCATCTTCATGGAGGATTGAAAGGTTTTGATAAGGTATATTTGCTAAAGTTTATATTATGATATTCGAAAAAAACATCTACATTTAAGTTTTATAAATAACACGATCAAGACGTGTTGAAGAATATATATGCTATTTTAGTCAATCCTAATATGAAAAAATTAATCAAATCTCGTATATGAAAAATAATACTTCTATTCTGATTGGGGGGAAAAATGCTTTGTACTTGTAAAAAAACTGATATTTATTTCAAATACCATCAATCTAAATTAAGTTGGAGATTCCAACGAGTTGTGTTTACTATGAACAACTTTATTCTAAATACATAAAGTAACTTTGTCAATGAATTTTTCTGGATTTTTCAAAGCTGATAATGCGAAGTGCTTACATTATTTAAAAGTGATGAAAAAAATCTTTCTTAAAACAAAGTATATTTAAACAGGTTGTATGGAAAGCTGATGTTAAAGATTCAAAAGTAGTGATGTCGTACACAAGTCCCGATGGTGAAGAAAATTACCCTGGGGAACTGACTACGTCTGTAACATACAAACTGACCAATGACAACGAATTTATTATAGATTATACAGCCACTACTAGTAAAGCCACGCCAGTTAATTTAACCAATCATTCCTATTTTAACCTTGCTGGACAAGTGAGTTGAGTAAAACCACTCCATGTCTTTGTCTTATTTTTTTTTTCTTCAGAAAGAATAAAAAAAATCTTTAAAAAAGTATTTATTACAATTTGTAGATGGCTAATGGAATAAACAATGGACAATGTGTATTTTATGCCAACTAAACAAGTAAACGCTCAAGCGTGTCACATCACTGTGATTTCTCCTATGTTGGAAATATTATTTTCATAAGATGCATTGAAGTTATCTTGACGCTGATCAATCATTCTTAAAACGGTGTCCTCTACTTAATTCTAGTCGAATGATGTCGATTACGTCTCTCCTTAGTATACTTTGTGTTCTGAACTTTTTTTACAGGGTTCTCATAATATAGATGATCACGTTATCAAGGTCAATGCTGACTATTATACTCCTTTGAACGAAAACGTCATTCCAACAGGTGCGTAATGCTAGCACACATCGCATCGTAAGTACGAGTTCAGTGGCATTGTTACTGTTAATATATATATATATATATATATATATATATATAAACAAGTCTAAATTGAAAACAACGTTCAAACCTATGATTGCGTTGGATAAAAACCGCAATGTTTGTACGTGTGCATGCAAAACAAATTTCTTGTTAGAGGGGTCTAAATACAGCACAAACAACATTTTCCAAAAGACCAAAAAAGTGAAAAAGTATATTTTAACAAAACGCATTTGACTAACAGGTCGAACAACAAATGTTCTTAAACCCTACTGACTGCCATTGGCGATTGCCAAATAAACGGATCACCGATGTAATAAATGGATCTTAATGTTAAATTTAATTCTAAACAGAAAACAATAAACTTGCGGAAAATATGGTATACTGCAAACAAAAGGTGTGATGATTAAGTTTGTGGTTAAATCTTGCGTGTGAGTTTCTGTGGTAAGTGAATGTGTGTGTGTGTGTTCTTGTTGATTTACAATTCCCATTGATCATGATAACATTTTGTATTAGAATTTCGACGAAAAGTCCGTAATACACAATGTTTACTATTCAAGTGCGTGAGTTATCCTCCTGTACAGAATTTGTTTGAGTGGGTCGCAGACAAATACTCGAAGGTTTCCATGAAAAGAGATTTCTATTCGGAAGGAGATTGTACAAAGTTTGAATATATAAATCTATAACAACAAGCAAAGGATTATGTAACTATGAAGAAATCGACCAGTTTACCACCTTTTTAATATCATGTCCTTTCGTGTCCCAATTCTGTTACCGACCACGGTCGCGTTCTAAATATCGCGTTACATTTATTAGTGATCATATGAATTGTTTCCTTATTCTACCTTTTCAGGCGAAATTGCTCCTGTTGAAGGAACACCATACGATATTCGGACAGCAGTACGGCTAGGGGATCGGATAAAAAATGTCAACAATGGAAAGGGGTTTGACATAAATTTTTGTGTAGGAAAAACTGGCGAAATGAAAAAATGTGGAAGGTATAACTGTAAAACAGTACTTATTGCTTTGATTATACGTTAAAAAAACTAAGATTTGGCAAAACAAACCTCATCTAAAATCTTTGCTTCTGTAAGCAGTTCATGCTCCAAAAGTGACACCACACATCGTGTTGCTCATGGCAAATACAAATCTGAAGACAATGCTCATTTTGTGATGCTATATTGGAGGAAAAGAGAACGTACTTTTTCTAGCGGTAACATGATGGCCTTTCCTAGCAATTAGCTTTCCGTTTAGTTTAGTTCATTCAATTCCAACTTCAGGGACTAGAAATATAAAAAGTGGCTATGATGCAAGAGAAATCAAAATGTCTAAATTACACAGGACAACGCAATACCGAAACTAGAAAAACTAACTCTGTGCAAAATTAATCATTTACAAGTATCTAAGGTATAAATTAATATCTGACAATTTTATATATACTATGTAAGTAGAATTGTCTGAGATATAAATGTATGAAGACGACTCCAATGGAATAATTTAAATTACTCTTGAAAACAAAACTTTTGTCTCACAAATATGAAAGATATAAAAGCATGCGAAATACGAAAAACATTTGGTAGCGTATGTTAAACAAAAATGGCGTAAACAAAATAGACAAAAATCATTAAGGTCAACTTCGCGTGAAAGAGGTTGACGTACAATTCCATTGTTTATAATCTGAAAATTTACTACCTAAATGGATTATTAAAAACAAAGCAATACCAATTAGAGCAAAAGATTATGAACCGATGGTACACACAGGGACACTGTTTACCAACAGCGAAACAGACACACTGCTTGTAATAACCACAAGCGTATGATATTGATTTTTAGTGCGCAGTAGACGTGTTTCTGAGAAAAAAAATGTCAAGAAGAAAAATTATTTTAAAACTTTTCAGAGTATCATGTAATATAATTGCCAAAAGATGACAATATTCATTGTAGATATAGACAAATCCAGCAAAAAGAATATTGATTGGTGACATTTAATCAGCAAAAAATATTTGTAACAATTAAAATTGTACTTTTATAAAGTGCTCTTTTTCTAAAGCTAGTTTGTCACATAATTTTGTAGAGTAGAACATCCACCTTCAGGACGAGTTATAGAAGTATCAAGCACAGAACCTGGTTTACAGGTATACACATCATACTATTTAGACAATGTCCAGGGTAAAGCAGGTGCTACATACGGACAGTTTAGTGCCTTCTGTTTAGAAACACAACATTATGCAGATAGTGTCAATCACGTAAGTAGTCTAGAATCAACAAAATAAATTCAGTCATTTTTAAAAGTAAAAATATTTTTTTCTTATCTTTCATATATTTTTGTGTCTGCACAACACTTGATGGAAGAATTGTTATCATGATTGTTCAGTTTTAATTCTATACAAGGGAAGTAATTGCTCTCATGTTTCACCATCTTTGAAATGAAAAAAAGAATGATTATATCTATATGTGATTTCTTTTAATGAAAAACCCTTCTTTGCTTTCAGGATAATTTTCCAAGTACAATCCTAAGACCTGGTGAAACGTATAGACATACTACACATTATAAATTCAGCACAATGTGAGAAAAAAGGTTAAATCGGTATCACAATGGATTTACTGTTTAAAGAGCAATACAAAATTGTTGTTTTTGTAACAAATAAAGAATTTTAATGTCAATGGAATTAACCAAATCCCCCGAATTCACCTTTGTACTTCATGGTTTTCTTAAGCTTTAATTCTAAATCTAATATATAAAAAAAATTCAACCCGGCTGCATATTCATGTTTGTGTCTCTTTACATCTGAGTGTTTTTGTTACTTGGAGAATTGGAGGTTGATGGCATTCCTTTGATAGTGTTTGTTAAATTTATTCAATGTTTTAAGAGTAATCGGAAAGTCTGATATATTGAATGAAAACCTATCTATTATTTACCTATAGATGTCTTTGGATTGTCACTGTTGCTTGGTTGTTGCTCAATGACGTATACTCCACATATCCTTTTATTCAGATTGATTAATTCTGCGTGTTCCTGTGAACTGTGGACCGTTAGTAATCAACCGCCCATTTAACAGAAGGCAAGCGACCCTGTGCATTTAAAAAAAAACAAATATATATCAAGTGTGTGTAATAGTTTTCCCGTTTGTCTTAATAGAGCTTTAGATCACTCTAATTTATGTTAACAAATAACTGAAAACCAACATTGTGGCCAAATTTCAGTCTACAATTGCTGCTGTGTCCTTTTCATTTCACCAAGTGTCCTCAAAATCCCTAGGGCCTTCTTTATCACATGAGATATTATCAAAACAAGATTGGTATCAGATGAACCTGAGGTTCGAAAGATATCATCTGGAAAATGCTGCTATGATCCCGAAACCAAAATCTTGACTTCCGAACGACACCACAGTCATAATGTTTGTCAGCCGAGTTGAAATCACTATTATGAGATTCGAGATCAAATTTTATATTGTTTTGTTTTATTTAAGTTATATTTTTGCTAATTGGTTTTAAAAGAGAGGCGAAATATTCCAAAAGGACATTCGAACTCATAAGTTGAAAATAAACTGACAACGCCATGACAAAAAAAAATTAAAAATACCAAAAGACAAACAACAGTACTCAAAACACAACATAAAACTAGAGGCTATAAAGAGCCTGAGTATGTCGCTCACCTTGGTCTATGTGCATATATATCAAACAAAGGACACTCTCCAATATTGCAATATTGTAGACGAGAATTCTATTAGACTTCTATTTTGTTGATCTTGTATTACTGATCTTTTAGTCTGTTTAGTTTCTCTCTATCTTCTTTAGTTTTTGTTCAAAACACAAAAGAGGGTAAAAAAAATCCTCAGTTAAGGGCAATCGTTCCTATGAAGAATGACAGTCTACTAACTATATCGGCAAAATTTGACTTTTTAATGGATATTGCCTTGCTGATCATAATAACTCCTTAAGGGGTCAATTGACCATTTTGGTCATTTGACTTCTTTGTAGATCTTACTTTGCTGAACATTATTGCAGTTTACAGTTTATCTCTATCTATAATAGTATTCAAGATAATAACCAAAAACTGCATAATTTCCTTAAAATTACCAATTCAGGGGCAGCAACCCAACTACGGGTTGTCTGATTTGTCTGAAAGTTTCAGGGCAGATAGATCTTAACCTGATGAACATTTTTATCGATGTTAAATTTGCTCTAAATGCTTTAGTTTCGGAGATATCAGCCAAAATCTTCATTTTACCCCTATGTTCTATTTTAGCCATGTCAGCCATCTTCGTTGGCGGGGAGGGTCATCGGACACATTTTTTAAACTAGATACCTTTATGATGATTGTGGCCAAGTTTGGGTAATTTGTCTCAATAGTTTCAGAGAAGAAAGTTTTTGTAAAAGATTACAAAGATTTACAAAAAATTGTAAAAAAATGACTATAAAGGGCAATAACACCTTAAGGAGTCAATTGACCATTTTGGTCATGGTGACTTATTTGTAGATCTTACTTTGCTGAACAGTATTGCTGTTTACAGTTTATCTCTATCTATAATAATATTCAAGCTAATAACCAAAACATCCAAAATTATCTTAAATTATCAATTCAGGGGCAGCAACCCAACTACAGGTTGTATGATTTGTCTGAAAATTTCAGGGTAGATAGAGCTTAACCTGATGAACATTTTTACCAAGTCAGATTTGCTGTAAATGCTTTAGTTTCATGAAAATCATCCACAATCTGCATATTACTCCAATGTTCTATTTTTAGCTATGTCGGCCATTTTGGTGGGTGGACCGGGTCATCGGTCACATTTTTTAAACTACATACCCTAATAATGATTGTGGCCAAGTTTGGTTAATTTGTCTCAGTAGATTCAGAGGAGAAGATTTTTGTAAAAGATTACAAAAATTTACAAAAAATTGTTAAAAATTGACTATAAAGGGCAATAACACCTTAAGGAGTCAATTGACCATTTTGGTCATGTTGACTTATTTGTAGATCTTACTTTGCTGAACAGTATTGCTGTTTACAGTTTATCTCTATCTATAATAATATTCAAGCTAATAACCAAAAAATCCAAAATTATCTTAAATTATCAATTTAGGGGCAGCAACCCAACTAAGGGTTGTCTGATTTGTCTGAAAATTTCAGGGTAGATAGATATCAACCTGATGAACATTTTTACCCATGTCAGATTTGCTGTAAATGCTTTAGTTTCATGAAAATCAGCCAAAATATGTATATTACTCCAATGCTCTATTTCTAGCTATGTCGGCCATTTTGGTGGGTGGACCGGGTCATCGGTCACATTTTTTAAACTACATACCCTAATGATGATTGTGGCCAAGTTTGGTTAAATTTGTCTCAGTAGTTTCAGAGGAAAAGATTTTTGTAAAAGATTACAAAAATTTACAAAAAATTGTAAAAAAATTGACTATAAAGGGCAATAACACCTTAAGGAGTCAATTGACCATTTTGATCATGTTGACTTATTTGTAGATCTTACTTTGCTGAACATTATTAATGTTTAAAGTTTATCTCTATCTATAATAATATTCAAGCTAATAACTAAAAAATCCAAAATTATCTTAAATTATCAATTCAGGGCCAGCAACCCAACTACGGGTTGTCTGATTTGTCTGAAAATTTCAGGGTAGATAGATATCAACCTGATGAACTTTTTTACTCAGTAAGATTTGCTGTAAATGCTTTAGTTTCATGAAAATCAGCCACAATCTGCATATTACTCCAATGTTATATTTTTAGCCATGTCGGTCATTTTGGTGGGTGGACCGGGTCATCGGTCACATTTTTAAACTTCATACCCTAATGATGATTCGTTTGTTTCTGTTAGTCATATTTGTTTATTGTTTTGTACAGTTTGTTCTGGTGTTATGCTGTTGCACCACTGTCCCAGGTTAAGACGTAAGATCAACCAAAAACAAAAGGCACACAAGAAAGCTAGGAAAACTAAAAAGAAAAGAGACCAAGACAGATACAAGAGACTAAGACAAGAAGTACAATGGGAAGTCAGAAAAGCCAATAAGAATTACATGGAAGAAGTCAGCTCCAATTACAAGGACAACTCTAAGAAATTCTGGTCCTATATTAAAAGCAAAGGACAGGAGTAGTACCATTAAAGAACAAAATGGGATTCCTCCAAAGCGATAACAAGAGCAAAACTAACATCCTTAACGACCAATTCCAGTCTGTATTCACAAAAGAAAACCTTAACAACTTCCCCAATAAAGGGAAAAGTCCATATACCACCATGGCACATATACAAATCAATGTAAAAGGAGTTCACAAATTATTGAAGAACCTAAAACCACATAAGGCAACTGGACCAGATGCTATACCATCCTGTATACTAAAGACAGCAGCAGACCAACTTGCTCCAATTCTTACAGAACTGTACCAAGCATCCCTCAACACCGGAGAAGTCCCTCAAGATTGGAAAGATGCAAATGAAGTCCCACTCTTCAAAAAGGATGAAAGACATTTAGCATCAAACTACAGACCTGTTTCACTTACCTCCATTACAAGCAAAGTCCTAGAACACATTGTACACAGCAGCGTAACGGACCACTTTGACAAACACAAAATTCTTACAAACGCACAACATGGATTCCGCAAACGACGATCTTGCGAATCCCAACTTATCATCACCATTCATGATATTGCATCAAAATTAAAAAGTAACAGCCAAGTAGATATCATCCTACTAGATTTAGTAAAAGCGTTTGATAAAGTGCCACACAATCGCCTACTACATAAACTTGAGTATTACGGAATAAACCCTAAAACAAACAAGTGGATAAGATCATTCCTACAAAACAGAAGGCAAAGCGTTATCCTAGAGGGAGCAGTCTCGGAACAGGTACCAGTACTCTCTGGTGTACCTCAAGGCACAGTTCTTGGACCCCTGCTGTTCCTGGCCTACATAAACGACATGCCAGAAACAGCAACATCATCAGAGACCAAATTATTTGCGGACGACAGCCTCCTCTATAGAACAATAAGCAACCAAGCAAATAGCGACCTACTACAGAAAGACCTAACATCATAAGAGGACTGGGAAAATAAATGGCAAATGAGCTTCAATGCGAAAAAATGCATTGTAATTCAAATACAATCCAAGAACCGTCCACTTATACCAACTAATTTCAAACTACATGGACACACACTAGACACCATTGAAGCCAGCAAATACCTGGGAGTAACAATCAGTGATAACCTAACCTGGGACAGACATATTGACAACATAGTAGGTAAAGGCAACAAAACACTAGGCTTCATAAGAAGAAACTTAAAAGATTGCACTAAACCAGTTAAAGCAGCAGCATATTCAACACTAGTAAGACCTTCAGTTGAATATGCATGCACAGTATGGGACCGAACAAAACAGACTAAAATGAAGGCAATTGAACAAGTACAAAAAAGAGCAGCCAGATTTGTAAACAACAACTATACAAACCGCACACCTGGCTGTGTAACAAATATGGTAAAATCATTAAAATGGGAAAGCCTTGAAGACCGCAGGAAACAAAATAGGCTATGCATGTTGTTCAAAATACAACACGATCTAATCGACATAGATCGGAACCAATATCTGACGCCAAACGATAGCCGGACCAGAGGTAAAAACCGATTCTACCAAGAAAGGGCCACAACAGACGCCTTC